TTCTGTTGGACTGTTCTAACCTGCATCCTGTTGGATCAGCTCACATCTTTCTATTTTTATCCAGGTTGGTTGGCTGCGGTTTGTCAAAGATCAGCTGTGATTCTTTGGCCTCAGCTCTGAAGTCAAACCCCTCACATCTGGAAAACCTGGACCTTAATTGGAACTACCTGAAGGAGTCAGATTTGCAGCAGCTGTGGGATCTTGTAGAGAGTCCAGACTACAAACTGCAGTATCTGTAAGTAGATGGTTGTAGTGAGTCCAGCTGCTCCACAGCTGCTCTGAACAGGACTGAAGTCCCTGCTGCTCTTTATCCTGGATGTGCTGCATCACTGACTGACAGCTGATGGAGAGAGAGAGGCTGGAAACACTCATTAATCTCCTCTGTTCACCCTTCTTCTCTCTGCAGGGATGTGTGGTGATGATCTTAGTAGAAGAGAGAAGCTGATCTGTGTCCTGATGATCCACAGAGCTTGAAGCTGCAGCAGTCTGAGTTTAAAGAGACTCTGACTGGATCCTGATGATGAAATCTGAGTTTGTAGATTTTTTTAGTGAGCAGTTTATTGGTGAGTCTGTTCAGGATTATTGTGTTAAAGGCAGAACTGTAATAATCTACAAAATGCATCCAGACGTAGCTCTTCTGCTGCTCCAGGGATTCAGTGCAGAGTGGAGAGCTATGGCGATCCTTTGTGGATCCGTTCACATCCAAGGAAGAAGGAAGATAATATCACAATTTCCAGAACAAACTCTTTACCAACATAAATCATGTAGGAGGAGCATCAAATTCACTGGACCAATTGAGAGAATCCAAATCACCTTCATATCATCATGGTAAATTAATGATGCTAATTGCGAGTATTTTTTGTTATCTTAGAGTAGAGCCCTAGCGCACTCTATTGAACACCTGCCAAGTGCTTTTGTTTGAGAACAAGGATTTGTTTATTTTTTGTTTTAAGGTATATTGCCATCAACTATTCTCTAAACCCATCAATTTCTGGTAAATATTATGATTATGAAGCATGAGGGCTTGTGTTCTGCATTTGGTTTATAAAGGTTCTTCTTTGTGTTGGTTCCCCTTTGCTAACTCTGTGCCCCATGTTGACACCCCCAAAAATAATATTCTGGCTATGCCTCTGACACCAGGATAAAGTGATTTTTGCTTTCTATAAAACATAACAGTTGCTAAGATGTTATAATATTTTTATAAAGAACAACCAACTTTAATAAGTAAGTAGAATATTCTGACAATAGATCCCATTGGCTGAGAACCTGGCAGTGGGCATGGCTAGTGCTGCAGCGGCTGATATTGGGTATAATTGAGACTGTTTAGAGTTCAAGATAATTACTTTCTATATTATAAGTAAGATACGGATGGTGAGATTCGCTTTTATGGGACTTTAATATAAATGGACAAGCACAACCTTAGGAAGAAAAATACATTTCTAACAACTTTAACAACTTAAACATGAAGTTCTCTGGTCTACAGTGTAATATTAATGTACTGATAAGAGTTGGCCACCAGGAGGCGACATTGTTCTATCCAAGTGTGTGTGGCAGAGACATTGATTAAAGTAGAGTTTGAAAACAGCCCCCAGCTCTAAACATGCTTAGAGGAAGATAAAAATGAAAGATATTCATCCAGCTGAAGCTGTCAGGCAATGTTTATGNAACTGATCAGTTCACCTGGAAACACAAACAAAGATCAGTTCAATGAGGGATTAGGAAAGGTCCAGTTTTATGGGGTGATGATAAAAGCCATGAAGCCTCCTAAAACTTTGAATGGAGGTAAAGTCACAATACATTGACTTGTTCATTTGGTCGTGTGTCATGATACGTTATTTATGATACCACCTTGTCTTGTGCCTCTTCCCTTAAAACAGTGGATCATGTCACAGCTGTGTTCCAAGCCCTGCCAATCCTCTTCCCGTCCAGCATCCCGCCACCTAAGAAGCTGGGCTTAAGCAGTGAGGCTCTTTTCCATGTCCTTACGGTGAGATATAGCAATATTCCATATTATATGTCCGTATTATATTATCAATGCATCTTGAGGGAAAAAAAGTCTAAACAGGATTCCTGGATAACAACTAAGCATTTCGTTTGAGCATTCAAATCCAAAAGAAACATCCTAATTAGCTTAAAATGACTCGTTTGTATCCCTAATTTACTCTATTAACCTCGGCTCCTGGTCCCTGATTTCTTTAACATCCAGACCTCTGAAAACAGAAAAATAAAGTGAATTATCAGGATATAGCCTACAGTTTGTGTACAGGACAGAGTGCACACAATGATGATGCAGTGAATAGTGATGACTCTCTGACCAATCAGGAGTCTGCAGTGTTTTACTCCACATGTTAGCATCGCCTCAGCTCACTAAGAACCTTGACAGAGGAAAAAAGTTCCTGAAAGCAGGTACAGCTACAACTTTGAGACAATGCAAAACAAAACAAAGGCCAGTTGAGCTGCTACTATGCAGTGAAAGAGGGATTTTTTGTGACTTTCCTGGCAAAAATTCTCTTACTTTTTAAAAATCATCCCAAGAACATTTTATTTTTTAGGAGAAACACTGGTGTATTAACAAGAATGCTTCAATAATCACTAAGAAAAGGTCAATTAAATTTCTAATTGAATAGCCCTGCTGTACAACATCTTTCTCTTTTGGATTACTATGACTACATCTATTGAAGTATAATTCTGAGTTCACCAATTTCCTAGTCCAGGTGTGTGTTGTAATGTTTTCCTAATCCTTTACCTTCATTTGTGTCGTCTAGACTTCAGAGGATCCTGATAGTTTCCTGCGCCAGCGACCAATGTCTTGTTTCTGAGAACAACTGCATGATCGCCATTGGAAACAGGCCAGTGACCTTCAGCATTGAGAGGTTTAATGAGGGACTTCTCTACCTCATGTCATATTAATATGCCTTGCACCTCACTTACCCAAAATCTATTTCCACACTTCTGTCAGGACTGAAAACAGAAATTCTCCATGATTCCATTCATGAGCAAGATTTTACCCTTTCGTACAAAGAAGCCATTGGCGAGTGGAAGTCGTTCATTGAGTGAGTGAGTCTCTTCAATCTGCCCCACTCTCTGTCTCATGTGAAACTTTCAGAGAGTCTGTTTCAGAAATGGTTTGTCGCATTTGTTGTTGAAATGGAAAAATGTTCCAGTTGGATATTGTGCAAAAACGGCAGCTGCAAATATATGTTTGTCATGATGCTTTTAAGGGATCTGACCCACATGCAGAAAACACTCAGAGAACCAAGGGAAAGTTTTTTTTCTTTACATTGTCCTGTCTGGCAATGTGGCAATAAGTGTTAGGATTCCAGTCTGTGTGGTTTGTGTTTTTCTTCCTTCCTCCACCAGGTGGCGCCTGGTTCTGGTCCGCCTCCTCACACACCTGCGGAGGGTTACCTTATTAAAGGAGTGTTCTTAAGCTGCTGACTGCCACTACCTCGATGCCAGAGCGTTTGCCAGTTTTGGGTACTCTAGCCAAGCTGAGTTTTACTGAGTCAAACTGAGTTTTTGTCTACCTCAGTTTTAACCTTGCTGTTTTGTCTTTGCCTCTCGGCAGGAAGTCATCCTGCAAACTGGATGTTTCGGACCTTCTCTCCCCTGGAAGGATCTTCTGAGAATCAAGCTGAGCAGAGGATTCAAGTCTATGGTTCTGACCAAACCCTTTCCCCCAAGGATCGTTGGGGCTTCTCTCTGAGCAGGGGATTCATCTCCACAACAACCCGTTCAAGTACCATTGGAAATCTAAGTGGCAGTCAGCTTCTCTATTCATCAACGTACAACCGCATTCTGGGTAAACCCTGTCCGCACTCCATCGAATAAGACAAACACTGGAACATCCCACACCGACTGGAGACAATAAGAGACAACCATTTTCTGGAAATGTGAGTCAGCTACCTATATCTCCTCTTCAAGTTCAAGATTCAAATTTCCCACTGAGCCTGAACTAACCGCAGTGTCTTCCCCTCACTTTCCAGTTACGGTTGAACAGTGTTCATAGGTACACTGGACTCATCACATCCTTCTCAATAAACCTGTTAAACTTTCCTCTGGTCTCTCTGTTTGGTCTTCTGCATTTGGGTCAGATCTTTAGTTGAATCATGACAGAACACTGTGGCCAAACTGTTGACCCAGCAGAAGCCATTCAGAGAGCCCTTCGTCTTCAATAAACCGTAATCCAGAAAAATCAAAACCATTTCCACGATCTCAGTAACCAACTGTCTGAGCTGAACAGTCGAGTGAGTAAATTAACCGAGGCTGTCCGTTTTTCTCTCCAGGCTTCGGGCCCAGCCAGTGAGCTAGCCCCGCAACATGCTAACCAAGCCGTTTTTGCTTCCCCACATTCTGAGTGTCAGCTGGCTAATCCTCCCAGGTTTAATGGAGATCCCAAGAAGTTCCGTGGAGTCCTCATGCAATGTCTAGTTCAGTTCAACCATGCACCGAGTAAGTTTCACCAGGATTCTACAAAGATCTCATATATTATCTCGCAACTTACAGACCGAGCTCTGGACTGGGCCGAGGTAAGATTCCTCATCCTCTAATTAAGGCTGCAGTTACGATCAGTTTATCAAAGAATTCAAGTTAACTTTCAACCAAGACACCGACAAGACGCTAACCTCTCATGAGCTACTGAGATTAAAACAAGGACACAGATCTGTTTCAGATTTCGCCATTGATTTCCGCATTATGGCTGCTGCCTCAGGCGGGGATGAAACAGCCCTTAAAGGCGTATTCGCCCATGCTCTAAGCGACTCAATCAAGGACAAACTAGCCATCCTTAATGAACCTGAGTCTCTCGAGGAACTAATTAATCTCTCTATCCGTTTGGATAACCGGATTCGAGCCCGCACTAAGGAAAGGGGTTGTAAAACAGCTCCTTCCAAGCTTCAGGTAACTAACAGTTCCCCCACTGAGCATCCAGCCAACCCATCGCCACCTGAATCTATGCAGATTGGCAGCATCCCTCTAAGTCCTGAGCAAAAGCAGCACTGTATGCGGGCTAAGCTCTGTTTATACTGTGGAAAAGCAGGCCACATTGTAGCCTCATGTCCTCTTTTGGGAAAAGCCAGGGTCCACCAGTAGAGAGAGGGCTACTGGCGGAAAAGAAGATATTACCCTCCTCACCTCGTCTACTCCTTCCTGCATCTCTATTATTAAACAAGAAATCTGTCTCTTTATCTGCCCTGGTTTATTCTGGCTGTAAACAGAATCTTATTGACAATGCCTTTTCTCAACAGATGGGAATAAAACGTATTCCTCTACAGAACCCTCTTCATGTTTTTGCCTTGGATGGCAGAGATCTGCCTCAGATAACCCACCAGACTATCCCTCTACAACTAATTGTTTCTGTGAACCACATTGAAAACATCTCTTTCTTTGTTTTCCCTACAGCTAACTCTGCATTAACTTTGGGTTTCGAATGGCTCCAGGCTCATAATCCAACAATAAATTGGACAAGCGGGCATGTGGACTCCTGGTCTGTTTATTGTCACTCACACTGTCTCAGACCCACTGAGAAGAAAATTAAAGCTGTTCTGGACTGGCCCACACCTGAGACTCGCAAGCAGCTCCAGTGTTTTCTGGGCTTTGCTCATTTCTACCGCAGGTTTATCCGCAACTACAGCCAAACTGCTCTTGATCTGACTGCCCTGACTTCCTCCAAGGTTCCCTTTGTTTGGTCCCCTTGAGGCGGAAGCAGCCTTTACTCTTAAGAACCTTTTTGCTAATGCTCCTGTTCTCACTCAGCCAGATCTCTCCAGACAGTTTGTGGTGGAGGTAGATGCCTGGGATTCTGGAGTTGGAGCCGTTCTCTCCCAAGTTTCCGGTGCCGATGACAAATTGCATCCCTGTGCCTTTTTCTCTCGCTGACTCACTCCCGCGGAAAGAAATTACGACGTTGGAGATCGTGAACTTTTGGCCATAAAGTTGGCTCTGGAGGAATGGAGACACTGGCTAGAGGGAGCTGCTCATCTGGTTCAGGTTTGGACAGATCACAAAAATCTCTCCTATATCCAATCCCCCAAAAGACTCAAAACCTGCCAGTCCCGCTGAACGCTTTTTTTCTCTCGTTTCAATCTCTCTAACTCCCTCCGCCCTGGCTCTCAGAACGTCAAACTGGACGCCCTTTCAAGGCAGTTTCCCCCGGACGAGTCTGTGGAGTTGGTTGCTCCCATCCTGCCTCCTAGCTGCTTAGTTGCAGCAGTTACCTGGAAGATTGAGGATCTCGTTAAACAGGCCCAACAGACTGAACCTGATCCTGGAACCAGTCCACCAAATAGAGTTTATGTACCTTCCTCCATCCAAGCTCGTGTGATTAATTGGCTGCATTCTTCTAAGTTTTCTGCCCATCCAGGAATCAGTTGGATGGTAGCCCACATCAGTCGGCATTTTTGGTGGCCCTCCTTGCTGAAGGATGTCAAGGAGTTCGTTTTAGCCTGCCCTACCTGCGCTCGCAACAAGCCCTCTAATCAACCTCCTTCTGGACTGCTTCAACCTTTGCCCATCCCCAAGCGACCCTGGTCACACAATGCCATCGACTTCATCACAGGTCTCCCCACTTCCAAAGGTATGACTACCATCCTCACCATCATTGTCCGTTTCTCCAAGGCCTGTCATCTCGTTTCTCTGAGAAAACTCCCTACAGCTCTGCAAACAGCCCAGTGTGGAAGCTCATTGGTAGAATTCTCTTATGACAGAAAGAAGGCCACGAATTCACATCATTCCGTCATCATCCGGAGGGGGGAACATTTATTTACAAAACCGAATTCATACAGCTGTCTTAAACACTTCATACATTCAGCGCCATGTCCTTACATCTGTAATTTCCCCCACCTTCAATCCATTGTGGGCGGCCTTTTATAGGCTCCATATCGCACTGTGTGGATGCATGTGCACGACTGGACACTCTTCCTGGAAATCTCTTAGCCTATGATCTGATTGCGTGCGAGTCAGCCAGTAAGCACCCTGTTTTTGCCAAGATTCGTACGTGACTCCCAGCTTGTAGACTCCCTGTTTACATGTTGCATTCTCTGTGTTGCTAAGTGAGCATAAGGTCAGAAACAGGACTACATAACGCAGTACCACTGCTTCCATATTTGGCAAGCCAGCCAGATATTTATATTCTACAGCATTAGAGACTTTATTTATTGCTAAGACTCATACTTGAACTTCAAGATGTACTGTTTTGTTGCTAAGTAAGTATAGGGCCATGTTTAAGGATATATTCTGATTCTGATTTCTGATTCTGATATGATATAAGACAATAAAACTGATACTACATTCCCCCCTGTAGTTCATTGCAGATGAAATACTTTGTCATGTTACATGGTGATGTGAATACTACGCGACTAAGTGCACTTACATGTGTGTGAAGTTTAAATGAAAAAAACGAAATATTAACGTTACGGACACAGCCTGATATGGATAAAAGTTGGGGAATATAAACCTCTAGATGAAACTAT